TGTGTTTCAGAATCATTCACGTCAACATCCGAATGGCCTTTTAACTTCTTGTTAACCTTTCTTGTCGTAGGAAATATCTTCATTTCCCGCGATTCAAAGTCGATCGATTCAAACTCTTCTCGTTTGCGTTTTCTTGAATCTTCTTCCTAAACGCATGCATTAAAAATGTTAGATACGATGGCATCTAAGCAAGTAATTTCGTACTCATTACTAGTTAAACATTAAAAATATCATCATCACTAGTCACTTATTCATATATCAAAATGATAAACAAGATGATACATCTTCAGCGAAATACTACTTTGCACTTGCCTCAATCCCATACAGAGACTCGAAAACTTCTTGTTGATTAGATAGAAATTTGTAATAATAGTTTGACATTTTGTGTTTGAATTAAGAGAATTCGCCAGAATTCTCAAGACATTTTTATCAAAAATACAGACCGGATAAATGAAAATCAGAACTCAACATACACCAATCGGATGATTAGATTACTAATCATAATTACTAATCAAAATAACAGAATCATACGATCTTCTGACTAAGAATGAATCTAAATTTAGACTTTTCTTATCTGATCAACAAAGAAAACGAATCAATAGAATGAGTCTTGATTTGGTTAATCAACACCGTTATCCGATTTGCATATGTGAGATGCGACGTAATGACGTGTTATTTCTGGTTTCACATGCGGTCATATGCAAGCCACATGCGTCCAAATATACTCACCAATCCTTCCATTCAACCTAAATTTGGAGCGACAAACAATACCCTAATATGTTTTAATTATGATTTACTGATAACAAGCATGATTTGTTATAAAAAATACTACTTTCAAACCGTACAAATCCAAATTTTTTTACAAAATTTTTACAAAATTTTCCAAGATTTACATGTTCTTAACCGTATTTTTTCTTATCATCTCCACACCCGTCATTCTACAATACATTCTTGAAATTATTATGGAAAATCCAGAAAGGATTACAATTTTGACACGATCTTCATCTCTAAATGTTGAGATCAACAGTCAACCAGACAATCCGCCAACATATGAAGAGGCTGTTGCTAATACTTCTTTAAGAACAACTCCAGGTTAATAAAAACTAGCAATTTTTACTGCTTCTATCTCAAAATTATCGCAATTTTTACAACAAAAAATAAATCTAACATGGCTTTTCAACCTATTGTCGAACAAATTGAAACAATAACTTTGGAAGAAGTTACAAACTCTGAACAAGGCAAGTTTTAAATATTAATGTTGTTAAATTTTATTACTTTGTTAAGATATATTCTATTTTTTAGAGTTAAGAAATCATTTGTCAGAACAAGTGGCAAATGAAACATATCAACGTATTGAGGAAAGAATACGTTCTCTAGAAGAAACGAACTTAACTTTAAAAGACTATTTAAAGTTATTTAAAAATATAATTTTTATTTTATTATTTA